TCTTCAAGCAGAGATTTATTTTCAGGTAAAACATTTTGTTTTTAAAAAATCATTATACTTACAAATTTTATACTGTAAGTCATAAAACACTCTCTAATGCATTAGACTTCCTTAAAAGTTCCTCAGCTATGTAGGTTTCTTTTATGACAATACACCTCATTCTCATACTTCATGGAATTTCTGCTGAAAGTCAGAACAAATTTAAGATTTAGAAGAGAGCAAATTTAAGATTCTGCTACAATCTACTGCAACAAACAACAGTCTGGGCCAGACTGAAAGGATTTTAATCAGGTGCCTGCAACACACTGGTACCACAGTAAGGGAACAAAATCCGAAGCACAGTGCAGTTGTGTAACTACAGCAAGAAGAGTTTATAGTGAAAAGAGGGTTAAAGAGGGTTATTCCTGCAAAACCAACCTCCACCCCTCTTCCAGGCTATCATCAGTAGGTTGTAGCCCAACATTTTACCCCCAAAGCTGGTCCACCCTGCTTGGATCCCAAGAGGGTAATCCTTCACAAAGCGATCCCTGAGCATTCCCAGGGGAGCTCACACCACTCTCATTCTTTACACTTTAGTCTTTTCTCTGCAGTACTATCAGTGATACCAGCAACAGATTGCTCCACACTGCTTTTTACAAAGCTCATGTTCTCAACTGTGCAAAAATTTGCAAGCTCCAACCACAACCGATGACTTTTTTGTACATTTTGTGTCTGCATTTACTATGTACCTTCTCCCCATAACAAAACCTGGATGTCATAGCTACAAGCCTCAGTTTTCAGGAGACTAAAGTTGCTTGGCTTACACTGAACAGATACAATTCCAAGCTGTGAAACTCAGCAACATTTTCCACAAAACTACTATACTTCAGCTGGTATTCACAACCTGAGCCCATGGAGGGATGTCAATCAAGTTTGCCCATGGTCCAGTGTTCCACCCAGAGCAGATGTGAGGTTTTGAATGGGGAAGGAAGCAGGCTGTCATGTCTACAAAGAGCCTATGCTTACCTTCAATCACAAGAAAAACACAAGCACCAACTATTAGTAAAAACTGCTAAAAGATAACAATTGCATCTTCAATGCCACTTATGAACTAACGATGTCAAAAAGTCTAATTTCCTCCAGTTCTTCTGGAGTCCTACACTAATTACCACAGAGGGCAGATGCTGTCAAACGACTTCGTTCTTCACAGCATTCACAGGGCATTTTTGTAAGAGATGTATACACAAAATTACTGTAAGGAGAGCAGAAAGGAGATTTGAAAACCTTATTCAGACACCAGATGCTACACTCAGAGAAAATATATCAAGTGCAGCTTTGCAATGCCTGTGCTGCAGCAGAACCATAAAGAGATGGAAGAGTATTCTTGCTATCAGAGAGGACAGGAGCCCAGAAGAAGATGCAAGCAGGGTAAGAATTCTGACTAATATCGGCATACTGGAAGACTGACAGAAAAAACAAATTCAGGTCTACATTTAGATACATTCCAGTGAACAGATGAAAATCAGGACATGACAGGCTGGACATAATCAGCCTTAGCTTCCAAAGGAGGTGGACCAAGTGAAGAGTTAACAACTCTCCAGGCAGGAGGTCCTAAAAACAAACCACAGTGAGAGATTAATGAAATTGGCGAGTTCAATCTTCAAAAGACTCAGGAGAAACTCAAAGCCTCACATACACTAGAATAGCTTCAGACAGAATAAGCTGGTCTGTACTATCCACAGTTAGTGAGTATGGAAGCATTAATACACAGAATGAAGATTTAAATAATGTAGTGAGACAAAACCTCCAAGGAGAATTCAGAATGGGAAAAAGTTTCACAGTAGAGGTGATACCATCTCAGACTAAAGATACATTTAAATGAGGCACCCAAATTGCAACTTACAGATCAGAGCCTGCAGGAAAAATCTGTCTGCCCAGATGATCTCTGGCATCATTTTTCTCTGGAGCCTCCAAAGATTTAGACAGAGAACGTGTACAGTTATTTTGAAAAGCTGTTCCTTGCTCCTTCCTTAATAACTAGGCCTACATCTGCCATGTAGCCAAAACTCACAAAAGTGACCCATCTCATCATTTATTGGAGACCACTGTTTACTGTAGACCATTTACTGCACTTCAATTATCTAAATATCTAAAAGGAGTCACTGAAGTTGACTGTCCCAGTCAGGTGAACATTATCCATCTTTTATCTGTATGGTAAAGGGGAGATCAACTTAGTCAAATCCAAAGCACCTTCAGAGAAAGCCACCAGGTCCAACCTACACAAAGCACTAGGACACTGAACAAAGTGTTCCAGTCCTGTCTTAAAAGCTGATGGATAACTATTGATGGATGTTAGCTTGGCTGAAGTGAGCAATTCTGATAAAGTACAGTACAAAGAGAACACAGATCCCTGAAGTTTGGGTTCCTGGCAAGCACACCTTGTTGTGATCACAGTTTGTTTCCTCCATGTGCATGCTCTACTAACAGGACAAGAACTAAGAGTTACACTGATTTTAGGGAGCATATGCAGCTGACAATCTAGCTGTTCCAAATCTACGTGCCTTTCAATGTGCCATGGCACATTATATTTGGCCTATTATTTCAATTTTTAAAGAACATGAAAAATTACACTGTATTCTGGTTTAAAAACGAACTCCAAAGTTTAAAAAAGTACATGAGTTAAGAGCACCGCAAAGTTCTGGTTGCTTATATATGAAGGAAGGAGTGACTTGCAGTTGTAAAACCATTAAAAAGTCTTAGTTACATACTTACTCCTCTCACCCCTCCCACCTTTTTTCTCAGACTGCCTCTGACTTTGGATACATGAACTGAGGAGTAAACGAACAGCTAGTAGGTTTCTTCATTATTCAATGTGTAGTGACGTTTTTTGCACATTAATCAAAACTTGTTCTGAATACCAAATTCAGAAGTTATTCACAGTTTAAACACAGTGTCATAAAATATAGCATTTGAGAGCTTCAAACTTGAGCACAGATTCTTTTTAAGAAATTAGCAAAAAGAAATTAGCAAAAGGAAAGTAAAGGAGAAACAGAGGGGAAGTTGTTTCCTCCATGGGCGAGCTGAAGCACAACAACTGGTGCACCAAGTCTTCTGATATTGCACATTTAATCAAAGATGATCTAGGAGTCTTTGTCTTCAGTGGCCATCTAAGATTCTCTCTGCTTTGAAGGACTAAGGTAGATGCTGAATAATTTAATGTTTTGACAGATCAGCCCACAGTCTTAAGTTAGTCAGTAAGAAAACAGGCCGGGACACAGCTAATGAACACCCCTGACAACTCTCAAGCAGCACCAAAGGACAAAAATTCTTTGAAAAATAAGAAGCAGTCAGTGCTTGCAGAAAACACTGAGCTGAGTCCATGAAATCATCTTCCCTTCAAGCAATTCCCTATCTCATTCATTAGAGACCTTCCAGCCTCTGCAACAGAGAAAGACAAACTAAACAAAAACAACACAAAGCAGGCTTCAAACCACCATCTATTTCTATCTGCAAACAAGAGTCCAGGCTCTATTGTAGAGAAGGAAAAAATAGCATAAAATAATTCACATGCTCCAACATCCTTTTTGAGAAAATTCTGCATCTGGTGTAAGGGCTAGCAGGGTAGTGGCACTGCCCACATATGCACAAAGGTTGTATTGATTGCTTTTCAACAGCCAAACAGAACCTTGGACTACTGGTATCAAACCTAAAAGATCTGCCCCAACTTAATTTCAATTTGAGGGGTAAGATGATGGCTATGAAAAGCTGTTTTATTATAGCCCTATTTATAGCAGAATAGCCCCTGAGTCTAACTTTTAAATGCTCTTTGTTCTATAATCAGAGTTATTCCCAAAAGAGTGTTTCCAGAACATCCACTTTCTACTCTGAGTTCCTTTAAGATTTACCTAACTAGTCTACCAGCACACTACTTAAAACTTACAGCTGAAATTTCCCACTTTCCTGGGTATATTCTAGAACTTCTTTATTTACACACTAAAATAAGTTAATTTCATTAAAGTTACAGATGAAAATGTTATCTTCACAATTTAATTTCATCTGCCTCCCCTTCTCAAGTGGACACATTTTTACAAATTCCTACTGTTTCTTGTGCCAAAAGATAGAACTGAAACAAGCCATCATAGCGTTGAGAGTCACAAGCAGTTTTCTCTTTCTCATCAAACAGTTGTGCAAGAGAAGCAGAGATCCCTCTTCCCAAAACAGAAAGCAAAAAGGCCCCAAGCATCCCCATCATGTATTTAAATCATTTCTGTGACAAAGCTCAGGTTTGATCTCACCAAATGCCATAAGAATTTTTTAGGTTGCATCAAGTTCTCTTTGTGTACACAAAGGTTTTTTATTGGGCCTCCTTGAGAACAGGCAGAAACTCCCTGGCATTGAGGTCTGAATTAAGCATCAGACTACGAGAAAGGCATTTGTGTTACCAAAGGCTGCTTGCTCAATGATGCTTTATAGATTAGGGACAACCCCTTGGCAAAACAAGCAAGAGAACAGTACTGAGAGGTGTTTTGAATCTTTTCAAATAGCTTTACTTCAACTCTTTATTTTGGTTTCTGCTTATTAAGAAGTCACACATAAATACATTTACTATAGTATTTTTTATAATAAAAAGCTGCTTTCAAATCTGCTTCAGTCTTAAAGAGATGTTAGACAGTTCTAAGATCAAGAAAGTGACAATATTTGACCTGATAATTTAAGTATGTATCTTAATTTCAGCTTAGATTTTGTGAATTGTCTTTCAAATCCCACACGAAAATTCAGAAAACTGACTAAAATAAGATGATTACATAGTACAAACATCACACCACCTGAGACACAATGCATTCGTTACAAAACCACAGTACTACAAATCCTCAGCTTTCCAGTTTCTGTATTTCAGACATCTATATTGCTTGATAGACTTTGAAGCAAAGATCAAATTAACATCCTCCTAGATTTCCAGTATTACTTTTGCTTTGTCTTCCACTACAGAAGACTAACTAGATTATAAAATAATGCCTTACCAGATGTTGTCATTTGTCCATTACTTAATTACTGGTTCCAGAGCCACAGAGAGTAATTTTCTCAAACATGCTCTAAACATTTATTCCAGAATCCACTGAGAGCAAATGCACAGAATTCAGATGCCGCGACTGGCTGGATTTAGCACTGGGGAAAATGGGGAGGTAAGCAGAGGAGGGATGAACATATTCAAATATTAACATTAAATCTAATAATATAAATTTAAGCAGACATTTTGGTTTAAAGGTTCAGATAGTGCCATCTGCGTCACATATAAAGACTATCACAATTCACAGCCCAGTATTTTTCCCATATAACAAATTTCTCCCTTTTGAAGTGTTAACACGTTGCTTGGCAATGCCATCCCACCTCGAGGAAGATAACAGATAACCACCACCCCTTTTTGTCTGCTTGGAAGCCTGATTGTGTTGCACAGGTGTCCCATCCATCCGAAAACAAAGAGAGGCTCTGCAAGTGCACTGACGTCAGGCAGCTCCAGCAGCCCCAGAATAGCAGCTCAAATACAGACTTCATACTCCAGTGCTACAGGAAGCCAGAACCATACCCTCCTGCTAAAGTATAAAATGAACGGGCAGAGATATGTGCTGGGAATACCAATTTAATATATCCTGTACTAAGTGACATTCTGTTTGTTGCATAGCAACAGGAATCTACTGCAGAAAAACAATATGGAACTTTTTTTTTTTACTTGCCAAGCTACAATTAACCCCAGTCTTCCTGAGAAACAGAACAGCCACAGAATAAACATTACCTTTGTCACCAGTCCACCAAAGATGCTATCTCCAGCATTTACTCTGTTCTATATTAAAATGATTCTGTGCATTTAAGTGGCTGGAGGGTATAGTGCTGCCAAGAGAAAATTCCCTGCTGCAGTGCATATGGCCAGCAACATTTTAATTCTTTAGTAATGACCAATAAAAAGTTCTCAGATGCACAAAACTTCCATTCTTAAGCATGAAATGCTTTCCTTGTTTTACAATATTTCTGTCATACTATGTAAAAAAAACTAAGGCACTCAAATTTTGAAAGAAAAGTCTATGGCTCTATTTCTAAATGTTTTTGCATTGTTTTGTTTGGGGGATTGGTTTTGTCTTACAAAATAATAAAAATGAGCACCTACCCAAACTACTTTGAATTTAAAATGAGTTTATCTTCAGCTTTCATTACAACGTACATACACTTAAACTCTGTGCCTCTCCATGGGAAAGTTTTTTGTAAGACAGTATGAATTGCACAAGATTTCCCCATGTTCCCAAAAGATCAAGAAAACTGCAATCACTCAAGTGGGAAATCAATACATCATAAAAAATACATAATATAAAAATATGCACCAGCAAATTGGAGAGAATCCTCTCTCAGGTTTTTGTTTCTTCGCTAGTTCTTTCTTAAACACCATTCCAAGACAAGACCAGGCTACGCTCCCTGAGAGTTACAACCAAAATACCTGATGAGTAGGTTTGGGGGTGAGTTTAGTCCCTACATCCACCCCAAGCACAGACATACTCAAGGACCAGGAGGTTAGGTCAATTCAGGTGGGAAAAAAGTGAGATTTCAAATACATGGATTCAAAATCTGGTGAATGCCAAGACTGGTACTACACAAACCACCAAACCTGCAAACATTCCTCACAGTTACATGAACAGTCTTTATACCAAGGTTCTTTTTATTGTTGGAGCAGGAGCGCTGCAAGAGGAGAGGTCACTTGCTTTGCATCCAGAAAGAATAAAAGAAGGCATGGAAATTCAAGGCAAGATATCCAGGGTACTCAGAATTGGCTTAACTGTACACTCCTCTATCCTGTGGTAACTGGGGATTTCAATAGGGGAAAAATAAAATCCTACTATTAAGTATTAATGAGCATTAGTCACGTCTAAAGCTGCAAGCATTGCAATGCAGTCCACTTCTATTTGCATCTTACAGGTTTACTATACAAAAGTCACACTAGTGACCAAGTTCATGTCTTCACAAAAATAACAGAGATGGGCTCCTTAAAAAAGGCATTCAAAGCATCCTTTCCCCCCCAGTGATTTCCAGTAGCCAGATGCTTCAAAGGAAAATATATCTCCAGGCTTTACATGGAAACAGTGACATTTGAAAAGTATTTTCACAGGTTTACTTTCTGACATTGCTTTCTGTAATGCAATCTCCACTTCCTTTATGCAGACATCATCTTTGTAGAGTAAAACAAAAACAAATAGCAATTTAAATAGATCCTACAGCTGCTAACCTGTTTTCAAGCACCCAATTCCTTAAACTCTGAAATAAGAATTACACCAACTATTGCTACAAGGTCACACATCAAAACTACGAGCTACTTATTAAAAAACTAAACCACAAATACACTAACATTTACCTGTATCTGCAATGTGCCTGCAAAAATCCACACAGTACAAAATCTCCACATGGTGTCTCCAAATAATTGTGCAGCCTTCTGAGAAACTCAGCCCTTGGACGTGTGCAATTGCCCGTGTCCTGTTCCCCACCACTGTAGCAGGTGATCTAATAAGGTATTGCCTCAACTTATAAAACCTTTGTCATGTTTATAAGCTTAGAGCAACAAAGCTACAGCAACAGCATTCATAACCTACAAGACATCCTTTGTGTTTGTCATATTGCCATCCATTTGTGGATTTAGCTATTGTTGGAAGCTATGTTCCTGTGACAATTACAGGAGCACTGACCTGTTCCATCAGTGACTAAGATAGGTACACAAAATAAAAGGAATACCCTTTGGTTTCAAAGCCACCTTTTTATTATGCCAAGGAAGAATCCTGAAGCCACCCTATTCCCCCAAACTTTACAAACAGACTACTCAAAGATACTGCCAGAAAACAAAATCAATTCCCTGAGTGTAGCAGTCCAAATCTCTTCACCTCACAACATAGAAGCAAGGTCAGATGCAAAGTGCAGCAGTAATCATTCTGAGGATCATTCCGAGGATAATTCATAGATGATGCAGTTAACACAGCTGGTCACCACACCAAAGGCTGCTGGACTCAATCACAGCACTGTGGAAACCAGAACAATGGTTCCACTGCAATCCTTCAGATTGCAGCATGAGACCCTTAAGATGCAAAATCTATTTGACCGACTTCTTTTATGTGTTTATTGCTTTGGCCTTCTTCCTCAATCCCAAAGTAAAAATTTTCATCCAAAAGCCACTACTGCATTTCCACTCAGTAGCTAAAAACCCAAGGAAACCATTAAATGGTACAAAACCTCATTCTCAATTACTCTCCAAAACACGCAACACTAAAGAGTCAGCTGAACAACTTGAGCTTATGTTCAAACACTTGCTACTCCAGTGCTCTAATAATTTATCTCTTCATCCCCCTACTCATGGTCAGACACAGGTTCCCTGATAGTTTTCCAAAATGGACCTTTCTCCTCAGCCTTCTCTTGGTCAGAACAGCACTGAACTGGGAGGGTCTTTCATGTCCTCCCTCATCCCTCAAACAGCAGGCTCTTACCAAGGGGGGATAAAGCACTGACTACTAGAGACAGAACTACTGTCTCCAGACTCAGCTTCAGACCAGATGGTTCATATCTGACTAGGAAAAAGTCCTGTGTTCCAAACATGTTTATTTCATATACATACATCAGACACTTCCTGCACCATCCTCCTGTTCTACTCACACTAATGCAATTCAACAAAGTAGATTGGTGTACAACAATAAATTGAAATATAATCTCTGACTATATTCAGAGATTTCTATCAAAGCAGAAGTATTCTGAAGTAGGAAAAAAGTACCTCTAAACATAATTTAGAAAAAAAACAGCATTTCTGCTAGAGTAGTACATAACGAAAACCAAACCATATCTGTTTTTAAGTAGCACATTCAGTGAATCGACTTACATATATAAATGGTAAACTTCAATACTGATCATTTTCCTAGCACTGTCATTCACTATTTTAATTCATTATCTCTGACAAAATTAGGCTCATTTAGATTAGGTTTCACTGTTTGGTCAGTCTGGCCACACCATCTATTTCAGACAATAGATAATGTTCATTCTGCAGTTGTAAAGTCCATTTACCATCATCCACAGTAGCCAATTGCAGATTTCTAAAAACAGGCTTTGCAAATGCATTCAAGAATACCATACAAGTTGTCTAGGAAAGCTTCACTGTGTACAGTTTTAAATACAAATCAAACAAGATTTAAAAACAAAAATTCAATTTTATTAAACTTAGGCAGGGTACTCTTAAAGAAGAGCTAGCATTGTTTAATGGACTAAGGCTTGCCAAATGGATCATACAGTCTCCTCAAATACCAACAAGAGTTCAACATAGGAGATACAACAAAAAGTGTACACATCACTGTGCACTGTTTATAGAAGACTCTGTTATAGAAGCTTTTAAAAGAAAGCAAAGGGCAATGAGATTTTTATGTAACAGGAAAATACAGGAAGAAAACAAGTTTTCAAAATGAGGAGCAGCGTATAGTGTTCACTGTAATGCATTATGGACATGAAAAACATACACTAGCTAGAAAAGGAAAATTCTTGCTCATCTGGAGCTGTAAGCTTAGAGCCTGAAAAAAGCCACATATTCAACATAAGTTATTTGAAGAACTAGTGATTTTAGGCAGCAATACTACCAGGTTCAATGCCCAGATTTACTTAGAGCATATGCTTAAGTCACATTTGCAAAGCCAATCAGAAAGCTGAAAGGAACCTGAAACTACCAACCACCTCTTTCCACCAATGCCAGTAAAAATACCACTAATGCAGCAGTACTGAAAGTTTTGTTGGAAATACATTAACTACAACAGAGTCTTAAATCATCTTTCCATTTACTACTTCCATTTTCAATCCCATACGATAGGAAAAAATTGCAACTTAATGGAAATCTCCACAAAATATAAACTTCTAGCAGACATGACCACTTATGAAGACATACTGGTCTATACAGGAATATACTGGAATAGATATACTATGTATACATATATATATATACAGTACATAATAGATATATCCAGTATATAATATATCTATTATATATACTGGATATATAATAGATATATCCAGGTATATCCAGTATATACTGGATGTACTGGAATAAGAAAGTGTTCACCACTAGCCAGATGGGACCACAATAAAACTCTGCCTTAACTATATGGCCTTCAAAGTATTTCAGTTTAAAAGCTGCTTTCACTATATGGTAACCAGGAATAAACTGACAGCAGTCAGTTAAACTACATTTTAGGAAATTCCTTTAAGGACATACATAGAAACTTATTTCCTCTAAAAAGAAAACTTAAATATTTCTTTACTTGCTATAAAACTGCAACTAATGCATAATATAGGTCTTAGCTATACCAATGATTATTCTTGCTCTTTTACCATTCTGCTTAATCCCAAGTTGTAAAAGTTCACCTGTTTTGAACTAGGTGATAAGTATACTACAATGAACAACAACCTTGCCTAGCCTTCTGTATGGAATTTGCAGTAAGTATAGACTGCTTTGTAATCCAGTTCAGGAAACAGAAACTTCAAATTTGTGAAGAAAAGACAATGAAAGAACAATTTCAAACAAACACCTTCCAACTGTGTTTGTGATGCAAACCAAAAGTTTAAGTTATTTCTGGCAGCACACCAGTCCAGCAAAGTAGCATTTTTATATCACCCTCTGGAAAGCAATCAGTTTCCACTTCATTCTCCCACACTTCACCTGGTGTCAGCACCTTTCTTTACCATAATTAAAAAAAAAAAAAAAAAAAGAAAAAACACACAACACCAACTCACACACTTAGCAAAGAAGCAGACCAGTTTTGGACTAAACTGAAATTGTTTTTACTATTTTTCTTTTACATAAAACAGCTTTGCCTGGAGTATTTTCAATATGTGAAACTAAGAGCAGATTTTTTTTTTTGCCTGAGCATTGTGTTTTCTTTTAATGAGCCTTGTCTAAAGATTACTCACAGAGACAAGAGAGTCGTACTTCAATTCCTCATATTAACTTGTGCATTGATTCCCAAAACATGTGCTTGTTACAAGCAGTTCAGCTGGAAAGACTAATCCGAAGTGGATTGACACATCATTTCACATCCCACTGAACAGTCCTGTTTTCTCCAGCAGGCTGTCACCAGCATTTGGGCAGGAGACCCAGAAAGATGTCACATCACCTCCCCAGCAGCATAAGCCTCCCATAAGTGCCTACAGAGCCATAACATTAGGAGCAGCACACACCACCACATAACACCACCAGAGGCTGGTAAGCACAACATTCACATTCTCTTCTGGAACACTTCTAACATTAGTCATAGAACAGCTACAGTGAAGGAGACTTGTCATACATGATAGCAGGGGAGAGGTTTGGCAATTAGGAGAATAATTTATTAGGAGTAATTGAAGTAAAATTCAACATTTTCCTCTCTAACCAGTATTGCTACAAAGCATTTTCTAATCAGACTCAATTACTTAGATACACGTTTTTATATCTCATGCTGGAAAATTTGAAAAGCAAAATAAGGTGGTGCAGCTGTTTCTAAAATGGGAAAAAGTTCCTGTATGTTATTCAACCAAAAAAAGCTCCATACAAACTATGTTCTTCTCCAGGTTTGCGAGAACCCATGGCAAGTTAAGGCAGGAGAGCACAGCAGAGACACAACAGTGGCTCCTCACCTGGCAGGTTTAAATACAGGCAGGTAAAAAGCAGCTTCACTCCTACACTAATCCCAAGGGAGATTCTAACAGCCCAAGAACACAAAATAGTTGTATTGAATTCCCAGGGACGGCAAGGTAGGGTGGGGAAGCAAAGTAGGCACCAACCAACATCACAGCTGACAGTTCAGTAAGGCTGATGTGACTTCAGTCTTTGCTACATTTAATTTGAGCTACAACTAGAAGTAAGGTTTTTTTTAATCTAACACAAAAAGCACTTATCTTTTGCTCTCTCTCACCACTACAGCACTCTCCAAACCTAAACATGCCTGGATGTTTAAAGAGCTGGCACGTGGATTTCTCCACTGCTGAGTGGAAGCAGGCATGAACTGTCAAAAGCAATTCTAGATGAAAGGTCAAAGCAAAGAAGGGAATAATATCTGTTTCACAAAATACATTTGCTCTCTCTAGTAATGAAAGCAAATGACTCTATCCAGTGGTTCAATAACCTACTTCTATAATAGTTCCACATGAGCTGCCCTGGCATGGCAAGAAGCAGCCCTCATTACAAAGTATTTCCAATCACATGCCTAAGGCAGCACCAGAGACGTCACTTAGGGCAAAGCATCCACTGAAACAGGTGCTGGGAGAAAAATGTTTCTGCTTTTTATGGAAGTGGAGAAAAAAGGCTTTTAGGCTAGAGTGGCCCGAAGCAGGATGCCAACTAACTCGCTCTTGTTTTCTGACCTCCAACAGCAAACATGAAACCCTGAACCAGAGTCAAGAAAAAACTTGTACATGCCCTTCCAGAGAGCATTCCTGAATTATACACACTCCCAGACTGTTTCTAATTTTTAGAGGCTGACAACATAATTGCCAAGATGGTCATAAATAGCTTTGTCTAAAAAAAAACGGATTCTCATTCCTGCACTCTCCATTCATGGGGCAGATTTTTAAAGATTTATCGTTTTA